AAAAAAAAAGGAAAAAAAAAAGAAGGAAACATAATCCCTTAGGGCTGCATTCCCCGCGCCCCTGCGGAGGCAATTACTTGACGGGGACAGCGGAGGTAGATAGGAGGCGCAGCGATTGACAAAATGCTTGGCCAGCCGGAACCCCCGCCAGCGGCCGCACCGTACTCCCTGACCACCGCTGATTAGGGCAGGTGGCCCATACACCGGCCGCAGGTCCCTCACCATGACTTTCAGAGGCCCGGAACGCGACAAGGGCCGCCTATGAAGTTTATCTATCTCGGCCCGGTCCTGAAAGGGGCCACTCTGTTTTTCAAGATGGGAAGCTTAGTGGCAGGCAGGTAGTGAAAGGTGAAATTGAGAGAAGAAGAATAATACGAATCTCGAATCTGGGCCGTCTGCAGTCAGAGAGGGCACGGGTAAGATCGTTGCAAGAAGTAACAAATATGTAATAAATATCGAATCTGGGCTGTCACGTCGTACCGGTAGACGGCCAGGATGGTTGCACCGTCGTAAGATTTTATGACCGTGCGGCAATCCAGGCCGTCGGTGCGGTACCACAGCGCCAACGGCCCAGATGGACCTAGAATAGGCGTACCGTCACCAGTACGGTAGGTCGATACCGGCAGGTCATTCCGCCGCCCTATCGGTAGGCCTTACCGCCGCCCTCCTTACTGCACGAGGGTATCCGTGCGCCCACGCGTGGCTGGTTGCGTGGGTGGGTGTGCGTGTGGGTGTGCATGTGCGTGTGCGTGTACTTGCGCGTGCGTGCGGGGGTGGGTGGGCGTGTGGGGTGCCACACACACAATACACACACACACACACACACACAGAGAGAGAGAGAGAGAGAGAGAGAGAGAGAGAGAGAGAGCGGGGGGGGGGGGGGAACATGAGCAGTGTGCTGTTCTAACTTGATGTTGGAAGCCGCCAAAAGTCTCTGTTTTTCGTCGAAGGAGTGGTTAACAGCTCCGCGCGAAAGAGGTAAGCCGCGATCTGATCCCTTCTCCTCCACCTCCTCCTCCCTTTGCCCTCGACTTTCCATCTTTCGGCATCCTGTGGTAATATCCATCGGCACCTGCTTTACCCATCTCTCTTCTCCCATGGTGACCTAAGCTCCGGCTTCTTCAGCTCCCGTCATTTCGGACTTCCGCCCTGCTCTGATCGCGTGCCATTTCTTTCGATCTATATCACTAACATCGTTGGTTCACTCCAGACGACCAGCTTATGCCAAGTTGCGTTGATTTGTGTTTGTGTCACAGACACACACCGCAAGCAAGCAAGCAAAGCAAGAGAGAGAGAGAGAGAGAGAGAGAGAGAGAGAGAGAGAGAGAGAGAGAGAGAGAGAGAGAGAGAGGCGGAGAGGGGTAGGAATATGACGTTGCTGACGGCAGGAAGAAACGGGATGGGAAAAGTTTGCCATGATCGTTCCTCCTCCATGTCCTTTGGCTCTATGTCATCCTTCTCCTTTTCAGCCATGATCGCCCAGCCTCCTCAAGAGTGCGCGAAAGGCAATCATCACAGTCGCGCAGGGGTTAGGAAGACTACAAGGGTTTTCATATTTTTCGTGCCCACTTTTCCATGTCTTGTTTCTTTGTCTGTCCCTTCTCGTTCACTTCATCCTTCTGCCTTGGATCCAAATATCCCTCACCCTCGGCAAAAGTGGAGGAAAGACCTCATCACACTTTTACACTGAGGCTAGAGGAAACTACAAGTGTTTTCATGTTTTCGTCGTTGTCCTCGTCCTCCACATTCACCTCCTTCTGCAGACCCTGCTTCCTGGCGGTACACACACACACACACGCACACACACAGACAGAGCGAGTAAAGTCGACCACTTTTCTCTCTCAGGGATCGCTATCGCTAACTCTGGGCGATGTGGTGAGTCCTTATCCATCAGTCAATTGAATCCTGGGCAGACTCTGTCCAGGTTCAACCTCCTGACGAGTCGGTGAAAGTCCGACGAAACAGTCTGTTCAGCACAGTCGTGCTTTTTTTGAGTGTATAGCGAATATGACCACACACACACACACACACACACACACACACACAGAGAGAGAGAGAGAGAGANGAGAGAGAGAGAGAGAGAGAGAGAGAGAGAGAGAGAGAGAGAGAGAGAGAGAGAGAGAGAGAGAGACGGCATACATACAATATTGGCTGATCACATTACATACTTAAAAAACACAGCAAACAGACTGGGGATTGGAATTCTCAGCAAACAGATAAACAGGCCAGCATTTCCTCAGAGAAGTGCAGAGCTCGAAGACTGCATCCGTGCGGGTCATGGACACATAACAAGATAATTACTGTAATAGCGTGCGTCCCCCACTCATGGAACACCACATATTTCATTGGTATTCCCTCCTGTTTTCTTGCAAGCCAAGCTGCAACGGGTCATCTATGTGTGTTATTGTGTCATCATTGGTTATCGAAAATAACTCGAATTCTCAAATTAACGACGGCTGTGCCGTGGCGACAGTGTAGAACAAAACCCCCCAAAAAAGAAAAGTGTAGAAATAAACTGTTCCCTCTCTAACTTCCCGACTTCCCCCCCCCCTCCCTCCATGACTGTGGTTCTTCATACCGTCGCTGCGCCTCGCGATTTTCTGCATTGTGCTCGTTCGCAACCTGATCTCTTCTCCCTCCCGCCTTGGCCCCCGAGGGGGGAGGAGGACGAGGAGAGAGAGAGAGAGAGAGAGAGAGAGAGAGAGAGAGAGAGAGAGAGAGAGAGAGAGAGAGAGAGGGAGGCAGGCACGGACATATATACACAGGGGAGGACAGGTGGAGATGGAGACAGTCTAATGAGAGGCGGTTAGAGGAGGCCAAGCCTTGTTCTGGATGCATGACGAGTACAGGACTGACTCGAACACAAAACTCACGGCTCGGCAGGCAAACGCCTAACCATAAGGCTAAGTGGGCTGGGGTGAAAGTGAACCCCCAAGATGAGCACTTCACGCCACCCCAGCAGGGAGATCCCGTGACACGGTGTGTACCCAACCACACTCATCCTGTAAACAGCCGCTCTACCGTAGTGCAACTTCTACGGGAGTTACTGCGCTTTTGGATGGTCTGGATCGAATGTCCTTCTTCCTCTTCTTTCTTTCTTCTCCCCCTCCCCCCCCTCCCCCTTAAAAGTCAGCCCCTTCTATTCTATGTTCGCGTCAGTCCGCTTGCTTATTTCCGGCAAGAATGGTAAAAGACACGATTGAGATAAGAAAGACAGGCATGGCGGCGCCCTTGCGGATCGAGGAGGCACCTGTCGAGGGGGGGGGGGGTCATAGTTTATCGAGTTAAAAAAAAAAAAAAAAAAAAAAAAAAAGCTTCCAGGAGTGAATTATATTTTTTTGTCTGAACGAAATGTTGCTCATTGAATTTGGTTTTGTCGCCTTCCCCTCTCTGACATTTGTTCTTCTTTTGCAGGGCACGTTTCCTACGAGATTGTTGATTAGCAGCGGCAGCAAGAGAAGTACGCGAAACAGAGACAGAAAAAGGCACAGATGGAGTGTGCCGTGCGCCCCACTCATCTTCCAGCTCTGGCAAGCAACCTTAGCTGGAGGCAGCAAACGACTGCTCAGAGTGTGTCAGACACGATCTTCAGCGCTCGCGTTCAGTCATGCCCTGTCAGCAGCAGCAGTGGTGGTGGTGGTCCCAGCACTTCCCGCACAGCTGGCTGCACTGTGAATGCCAATGGGAGATGGAGAGGGAGAGAGAATTGGAACTCTGCTGCGGCGAAGGCGGTCGCATCTTGTTGCCAGCAGCGGCGGTCATTCGCCGTCCGTCTGTCTATGTTTCCTAATCGAGAAGAGGATTGTACCATCGCCGCCCGTCTGTCTATGTTTCCTAATCGAGAAGAGGATTGTACGAGTTTGGGTTTGGTGTGTCGTACACAACGTTTGGCTAGGCATCAGTGGAGAACAACACAGTTTTGCAGTGCTGCTGCAGCGAAGCTGATGAGCCACAGCGCTGGCCCGAAGCTAAGCTATGGTGCTGCCGCGAAGCTGAGCTACGGTGCTGCCCCGGAGCTGAGCCACAGCTTGGGGGTGGCCGTTGGGGAGAGATGGATACAGAGCAAGGGCAGCAGCGGTTGCAATGACCGATCCTCGGCAACTTCAAGGGTATTGTCCGCTGCAAAGAGGGGTTCAGCCTTGCAGCCACGACTGGATCCGTCTTTGAAGTTAGGACGCTCTTATGCGCCTGCCAAAGCCATCAACGGCGATGAAGAGGAGGAAGAATATGAAATCGACGAGGAGGAACTAGAGAGAGAGGGGGAAGCTCCTTTTGTACCCCCTACTGGGGGGGTTTATGGAAGGCCATCCGTTGAGAAGTTGTTCAATCTGGAAGTGGAGAGGCCATCGGAGGAGAGATTGGAAGAGCTGCATGTGTCAAAATGGTCCAAATGGGAAAGTGGCAGGACGTTTTGGGCATGGGAGTGGAAAGTAGATGAACTGTGCTTTATTGAGAAGGGGGAGTTGGAGATCACACCCAGAGAGTCGACCCGAAGTGCTGTCTTTAAAGCCGGGGATCTAGTGACCTTCCCCAAGTGGCTTAGAGCTCGCTGCGAAGTGCGCGAGCCACTGGAAATGCGCTATAGATTCAGAGCCATTGGTGATGCTGTTGGAATAGAGTCATAACCTCTCTCTCTCTCTCTCTCTCTCTCACACACACACACACACACACACACACACGCACACACACAAACACACACGTGTTCCTGGTAGCTTGCAGTTGGCTGCGTTTGCTTCTTAGTGGCACGGATAAATTAGCGGGTACAATTTTTGTGTTGAGAGTGAGGTGGAATTGTTCGAGGTGGTAATTTCAGATTTGTTGTTTTTCGAGCGGAAGGCCGACCGAAAGTGTAACATTCTGGGGGCTAGGTCCCACTTACACGAAAGGCCGAAATCTCCTAATTTGCGCAAGTGGGACCCTGCCCCGGGTTCTTTGGAGGCTTGGGGTTACGGGACCCCAAAATGGCTGGCGGCGCCAGCCAAAAGAAAAAGATGAAAAAAAAACGAACACTGCGCTGGCTCTTGAGCAAAGTTTTATGCGCACCGCAAAAAGGTGCAGGAGGTCGTGGTGGTTTAAACTTTAAACCACCAGTACGTCAGAGGCACTCTTTTCTCTGAGCCCTGCGAGCCTAAAAAAATTGAACCGGCGCGTTCTTCTTTTGGCTGGTGCCGCCAGCCATTTTGCTCCGGAGGCCCAACCCCTCACCCCCCCCCCAAAAAAAAATGAAATAAAAAATTGGCTGGTGCCGCCAGCCATTTTGCTCTGGAGGCCTAAACCCGAAAGTTGCGCCCCATATAGCCGCGACGGATGTATGGGCCAAGTGCTGGTGGTGTATCCCTTTTCATGAGATCTTTGCAAGGAGGCACAGAAATTGCTTGCTGTTAGTGTGATTCCCATGGGCTGTCATTCTGGAGCACAGCCATAGGTTTGCAGGGTGCTTTCAGCAGTGCAGTGGTGCCATCCCGGTTCGGCATTTTGATCGGATGTCATAGGGTGGTGGTCCTGGAGGGGCTCAGAGATCTTTCCCTGGGGGTGGAATTCCTATGGGCGGTGTTTTTCAGGGCACATCGTGTGGTCGCGCCAAGGGTTATTCGAGAGTGCTTTAGCCGGTAGAGCTATTGTGGGCATGCAAAGTGTTTGTGTTTGTGGCTGGTGACGGTTCCGACCTGTCCTTTTGTGAGACTTGCTTTCAAGAAGGATGGATGGTTGAGTTGGTTGCGACGACATTTTTTGTAAATTGGGACTTCGGTGGGTGGACTCAGAAAAAACTGTGTTTTTTTTTTGACTGCTTAGTGATATTCCCACGGCCACAGCCTGTCAAGGGGGTAACCCCTAACCCTATTATATCCAATTGATTATCAGGTTTTGAACTCATGTTTGTTTGCTAACAGTTTTTTTTTTTTTTTTTTTTTTTTTTGGTTTACTAACAGTTGAATGTGCGTACCACGGGGTGGGTAGGCTATACTTCGTGAAGAGCGTGGGACAGGCCAAACAGTGTGATCTTAGCAGTGGTGCTTCTGGTGTTGCATGGGTATTCCAGCAGAGCGTTTTCGTCTTGTATAAGCCAACAAAGTATTATCCCAGAGAGAGAAGTCTGCTGCTAAATCAGAGGGCTGCTGCTCCATCATAGGGTCTTGTCTTGTATAAGAGAACAAAGTATTCTCCTGGAGGGAGAGTCTGTTGCTCCATTTCTGTCGAACATAATATGGCCCTCACTCCACTACACAACACTATACGTATGCAGTGCTCACAATCCAAATACATTGGAAAATGTTGGACTCCATATGCACCTGTGCCAGGAAGGCGTCTAAATGCATGTAGTATGTTGAGTAGTGTCGCAAGGCCCCATGTCACAAAGCCAGAGTACCAAGCAAAATGAAAGCTTCTTTGGCAGCACACATGACTTCTACTGTTATTCGCATTAATTCTATGTTACCAGTTGTCCGATGGCAGGATGTCCTGGCCGGACAGCCAGAGAGGGGGGGGGGG